GAGTGGTCCTTACTTGTATATCTCACATTCATCAATATATATTTATCACATTAACAAGAGATCTTTCCATAAATATGTTTAAGTTACTTAGTTTGAAAATCTAAGAGACATAAATTTGTGCGTAAAAATTGTGTTCTTGGCTATTCAAATTCCAACCCGGAAGTCAAAGAGCCATTGTCACCACAGTCAAATTACATGATCTCAAATACTATTACCAAGGCATCAACATTTACAATAAAGAAAAAACAACAACTAATTCCTTAATCATGCAATTAACCCCCAATTTTCCTTGCATGTCGTTCCTCTTCTTCATGCATGTTACACTCCAGCCAAAATGAACTCTTCCCCTGTCCCCAGGGTCTACACTTACCTCCCTTTATGGCTTGGATTTTACTGTCTACTTTATTAGAAAATTCCTCCACCCAGTTCCACAAATTCAAAACTTATCCTCTATATATCATTCAAATGACACCTCCTAATCCTTTCACATTCTAGAGGTCATTTTCCCACCCTCTCAACTCCTATATCACTTTATCTAGGCCTGACACCATTTATAACTTTATTTCAAGAGTATCTATAATAATAAAAGTGTAATATGCTGATTAGACCACACGTCCTTCTGGATGTCTGTCCTTCGAGACAAAGCTGTAGTGGGCGGCCGCCACTGCAGCAGGGGCCAAGGCCCTTGCAGGAATTTCATGCATCAGGCCTCTAGTGTAGTTATGTATCTATTTTTCCCCTCCCTCTACTTAACAATAAGGGCAGGTTCTATATAGAATTCAACATTTTCCAAAGTATGTACATGGAATTCACAAAATTAATAAACACTACAAAATAAATGTTTCATGGTCAAAAAAGCTTAAAAATGAACATCTCAGAATTTCTAACATACTAAGGTATATTGTACATCTCTAACAAAACAAAGTATGCCCATTTCCAAACCCTATTTGGCCTGTGAACCATTTGGGTGGGGTTTTTTGTGTGGTTTTTTTACAGTGCATTGAGTAAGATTAATATTTCTATGGCATGCAGCTTCATTACTCTTGGCACCTTATCTTGAACTTAATAGATCCTCAGTAAATATTTGTTAAATAAATGGGTAATTGACCCTCGTTAACAAAAAACTCTCCCATTAAGATAACTTGCCCAAAGAGAAGACTCCAGAATAACAAGAGAAAAAAATAGCAAGTGAGAAGGGAGTATAATATCCTCAGTAGTAAGTAAGGGAAGAATATTTGCAACAACAGAACTTACTACCCCAGCTACTTCTTTATATGTGGAGGAATAATTACTCCAAACCACATAGGAATTCCTAGTCAGAATGTCCATCCTGAGGTGATCATTTAGAAACAAACACATAGATCCTTTTAGAAAGAGTTGTCAACAAGGGCTGAAACTAAGAAGGAAATAGTATTTCCAGGATACTCACTATTAAAATAACTGAATAATCTATTACTAATCATTTCTGTCAACCAAGGAAATATTCTATAGTTGATTTTGTTGTGTGAAGGTGTTTTTGTAAAAAAAATAAATAAATAATTAAAAAAAAGCAGTCTCATGGGATCAATAATATTTTAAAAGAAGTATAATTAACACATGGAATTTCATGAATTCAAAGCATAATTTTGCATTGATTTGACCTCTTTCAACATGGAAAAATGAATGCAAAATTCAACTTAATAGTGCATTAAAACCAGGATGCATAAAAACAAAATATCCTTGACTACATCCTAAAACCAGGATGCATAAAAACAAAATATCCTTGACTATGTCCTGACCTCTGCTTCTCACAGTTCCCCGGCTGTGACTAAGAAAGGGAAGAGAAAAAAACATTCCCTGACTTGTCCTACAACCTAGAGCCTATGGAAGTAGGAACAGGAAATAACAGCAATGACTAAGGTTTGTATGGTTTTTTTTTAAATCCCTCTCCTCCCTCTAAAGCTAAGAGACCAATTTTCACTTAGGGATGAGAACTTATTCAAGAGTAGAGCCCGTTGTAGGGCTGAAAAGGTAAATATTTTTCTTAATCATACTATTAAAATTTCATTGTAACTATTAATGTAATAATGCTTTTCATATTGATGATACAACAAGCTACATATGGTCAGGAAAAAGAAATTCACATGAGTTAAGATCCATAAGCATGTTTAAGATTGCTCTATGAACCCTCTGGCCACAGAACTAGTCTGTCTCTATCAGCAGTGGTTTTCAACCTTTTCCATCTCACAGCACACATAAAGTAATTACTAAAATTCTGTGGAAAACAAAAAATTGTTATATTTTTTACTGATCTAACAGAAAAACAGGTATAATTTTGATTCATTCACAGTGGATAGCTATTGTGTTGGTTGTTGTCATTTTTTTATTTGACAATCTAAGCCTGGGAAAAGAGGTCAGTGCCCCTGACTAGTCAAGTATTGCTTATTTTAAAAATTCTTGCAGCAGCCTGACTGTTGTGGCTCAGTGGTTGAGCATATCAACCTATGAACCAGGATTCCCACATGGCAGGGTTGTGGGCTAGATAACCAGTGGGGGGCGTGCAGGAGGCAGCCAATCACTGATGATTCTATCTCTCTCTCCCTCTCCCTTTCTCTCTGAAATCAATAAAAATATATTTTTTTAAGTTACTGCAGCCAGAGGCACGCTGGTTGAAAATCGCTGCTCTATCAGTAAGTAAATATTACCAGCTGTCACATAACTGGAGTCACTGAGTGAAGTTAAACCCTAATTTGGTTTAACTACTTTACTAAATGGTGGACCCTAGAAAGCAAAATATGTATTTTTCTACTTCCTCCCCTTCCCACCAATGGGAGTAGAAATCAAATACACTTCAAGTAAGTTATATGAACTCATGGTCAAACGTTTAAAGAAAAAAGAGACATAATTAGGAACGTTAAGCAATATTCATTCACTCAAAGACTAATGCCTTATGAACTGTATGACAAAATAACTTTTCTATTAAAAGCTAGCGAGTCCAGTATTTTATTAAGTAAATTAAAGATCTCAACTTCATACATAGTTTTCTACCTTTATAAGATGTAAAGAAATAAAACAAGGAACTACAGAACTCCTTTAGTACCTTTCCCAACAACATACAGTAAAAGCTTGTAGTAAAAAGAATATCTCCCTGCCCGTGTCAATCGATAAACAGATAAAATTGGAGTAGTTAATGTGATCTCTCTCTCATCACTTAAATCTGAAGGAATGCAATTAGCATTTCCAAATTCTTCCTTGTAACTATAAATCCTTCACTCACACCTTATTTCATTACAATTTATTATAACAATGGCACCTTATTCCTCTCAAAAGCATTATCTATCCAAAAGCTGACAGAAACCCGAAATACTGGGACAGTAACAAATGTGAAAAGTTCCTAGTTATAAACACTGCGGCATTTACACTTTAAGCCAAAAACAAACACAAAAAATACACCAAAAAACCTGCTGAATCGTAAGCAGAAAAAGGATCCAACTGTCACTCAGACAGAAATTCTCTATTGCCGACTGCAGTCTTCTCACTTATTACTTCCTTTGTTTCTCAACATGAAACTCCAGCACACACAACAGGGGTCTTTCCTTCCTCTTTCTTCATATCTCTGTTTTCATTTCTTTCACAAAAGGAGATCCGTTCTTTTCACGTGTCATTGTTTTGTGGTCCCATCAGAACTTTCCCATCCTGTGATCTCACACCGCGCAGCTTCTCACACTGGATTTCCCGAAATTACACTTTACGTCCTGGAGCCTGGAAACTGCCAGGGAACCCCTCGGAGAGCTCGCCGTCTCCGCGGGAAGGCGGGCACACAAATGTTCCTTTTAGTTCTGCCCCCCTTCCGTCCAGCGGACCAAACGGGCCTTTATTATCCTAAAACAATACGTCGGCCGGCCTTGTCCAGTGTAAGGGTGAACGGGCTGGCAGGGGAGCGCCGCTTCCGGTCACTAACGGGGTGATCACACACCAGGGGCAGCCCCGAGGCGTTCCGATCGCCGGCGGCCCCGAGAAAATCACACGAGGGGCCCAGCGACGCGACAGGCCGGCTCAGCCTGGGGCTCCGGACTCCACTCTCCGCGCCCGAGCCAGCCCTCCCCACCGCTCACCCCTCCCGCATTCGTCTCCCCACGCCCCGGCCTCCCAGGCTTCCTCTCTCCCGCATCAGGACTCCAGGCTCCCCTCCCCGCCCGCCACCCCACCCGAACCCCCACCCGCCCCCATTTCATGCTCCGCCTGCGCGGACACCGGAGCCGTCACCCCACCCCTCCGCTGTGCACCTTTCTTCCGAGGGCTGCCGCGGGCCGCGGACGGACACCCGCTCCTCAGTCCGCCCACCTCGCTGCCTGAACCCCGGGCCTGCCACTCCCCGAAGACCCGCCGGGACCCACCTCGAAGAGCTCGGCCGTCGTAGCCATCCCGGCCGGCTGGGAGGCTCGCCTCGTGCTGGACGCCGTCTCCGCTCACATGCTGCGCCTCAGCGGCGCCGCGCACAGGTTCCCGCTCCGCTCGCCAGCTCCGGCTCCCGGCCGCCACGGGCTCCCCAGCTCCCCTCCGAGCCCAAGAAGGGCGGGAGAGCGGCCATGAAGCGAAGCCGCAGACGCCTGTCAGCTGCCTCCTGGCGCCGCCCGCGCCGCTCCCATTGTCACCGCCTCGACGCCGGAAGTGGAGCTGCGCGCGCCGGCTCGGCAGTCGGGAGGGGCGCGCAGCCGGCGAACCGCGGAGAGGCGCGTCGCTGGGCGAGTGAGGAATCTTGATCCTGGTGGGCCACCATCCCGGAAGTGGACTGTAGAGGAAGCAAGTGCTAGGGTTGCTGGGGAAGCATAAGTTCTCGAGATTCCAGGTGCGGATTCGCAGAAGTCTTTTGTGGCCTGTGTTGGCCAGGACGGACTCCGAGGCTTTCGTCACTTCTGAAGGCGCTAGCTTCCCTGCTGAGCCGCACCTGTTCGTGGTGGGGCAGAAGGCAGCTCGGATGAATGAACCTCGGGCTTCCGTTGAGAACCCATCCGAGAAAGGCGGTCTGCGCTCTTCCTCCGTGGCGGCCTTCGGGGTGCACTGATGCACTAGACTAGCGGCTTAGCATGGCTCAGCGAGCAGTGTGGCTCATCAGCCACGAACCCGGAACTCCACTTGGTGGCACGGTCAGATTCTCCAGGTAAATGCAAGGCTGAATCCTCCGGGATGATCCGTCGGAGGAATGGGTCATGGAGCACAGTTTTGTGATGCAGTGTATCGCTGATCCGAAACCTAGTGCGAGTTACGTAACCTCTATTTCATCTGTTAAATGAATCTTTAATAACTAACTCATCGTGTTGTGAGAATTAAATGAGTTGCTGCCTGGCACATATTAAGTATTGTGTGTTTTCTAGTAGTGTTATTTAGTAGTACTACGTCTAAAATTACTGCACCTGCTTTAGTATTGATACAGAGATGAAAGGAAAGAAACTTACTGAGCACTACACGTGTTTAAATTTTTTTCTTTCACTACTAAAAATCAGTCAATGAGATTTTAACTCATACTTCTGGAAAATCCTTGCTGAGCAGTATTAGACTGTTATTTTCATCTTAGCATGTTTCATTCCTAGAAAATTTCAGATAGTTTAACTCCTAATGGTTGAAGAAATTGAAGAAGGACCAAATTACATTGTATTCACTTTCTCTTAGATGGTGTAAGCTGATCTGGTTTTATTTCTGGAATTTGCCACGTGTATCAAAATAACTGTGAAGGGTACTATATAATAAATTCATAAAATGTGGGTGGCAATTGAATAATCTGTTTCACCTTTTATTCTCAGTGGCTATTGACAGTTTATGTATTGCCAACAAATTCGTTCTTCTCTGAGGAAAACTCTGTAGTGAAGTAGCAGAGCTGAGTGAGATCGAAGCAAATAAAGATGAGTGTAATTTTAAATGAAAAGTGGTTGGCAATGTGGACATGAAAAATTCCCGCTTTGCAACCTAAATAATTTTTGTTACTAAGGGCATCAAGTTGGAGTTTACCATTTGCCCCCAATACAGACTTTTTGTTGTTTTACCTCAGGTAAGGGTGATAATAATATTCGCTAGTGTGGTTTATCAGCCTCATTGTTCTATCCAAAGTACTCCTCGTTTTATTTATATATTCTCTTGGGTATCTTTATTTCTGCCATTCTTCTTGCCTCATAGGTAACATATCTTTGTTGCTATCTTTGTATTTGTGTGTTTGTGTATTCATTTTTCAAATTACATCATTGTTCCTTCGACTTCATTCCCATTCAGATTTCTCAGCATTATTTTGTATTCATCTAGAGCAGCACTGTTCAATAGAATTTTCTGCAGTGATGGACATGGGAAATGTTCTAAATCTGTGCTAACCACATGCAGCTTTTGAAATGTGGTTATTGCAACTGAGGAATTCAATATTGTTTAACTTTATGTTTAATCACATATGGCTAATGGCTACTATATGGGACAGTGCAGGTCTAAATCATTATTTCTACTTGCTCTGTAGTAATCCATGGTTTACACCTTTGATATTTACCAATCCTCTTCAGGAGTGATGTATCCCAGGTTGCCTCCAACTCTGCCATTAGAACAGTGCTGTAGTAGATAGTCTCAAAATGTGTATGGAGCGTATCTATGCTGATTTGACTAAATATTGCCAAATGATTGACTCTTCATAATACTTTCGCCAGTCTACCCTCTCACTAGCAGTGAGTGAGGGTTCCTGTATCTCCTTTCTTTCCTAATCAGTTTTTGCCACGATAGTATTTTATTTTCATTTGATTTTCTCTGTGTAGCATGATTGTTAACCCTTTCGGTTTCCTCTTCTGTGACTTGCCTATAGATATCCTCTGTTCATTTTTTTCTTTGAGACTTGCTGTTTTTTTTCTATTAATGTGCAGGAGTTAATTGTGTATTCTTGAAATATAGTCTTATGTCATTATTTTAGCTATTACAGATATTTTCTCTTCACTTATTGATAATGAACTTAATGCTTACATTCAGTCATTAGATTCTTGCATTTAAGAACTTTGATTATCCTTTAAGTAACTAGATTGTAAGACACTGTTCTAATAGTTTAATTAACTATTAAATTATGTGTAGTAGTAGAATTTAGTCCAAAGTTCTCAACTATTCTTATCCAGAGACTCGGAGAAAGAAATGGCATCCACCTACAACTACATTACTGGAATGCTAACTAATTCTTTCCCTTTCTCAACCAAGAAAATGCATCAGAATGTAAATGAATAAGGATCACCAATACACTGATAAATTTGAATACGTTGTTTTTCTTTTTAAACAATATTAGTAAACATCAATGTTTTATTAGTACAATTAGTGAAAAAAAATTATTTTGGCCAAGGTATGTTCTTGATCCTTGATGAGAATTACTGGTATGTTCTTTAGCCACCTCTTTATTTTACTAATAAGAAAAAAACTTGGGTAAGTTAGGTAATTTACACAAAAGTTAATAACCAAGAGGTTGATTTTGTTTGGATTGTGGGAAGGTAAGGAATAGGGAAAGCACATATTTTTTGAACTAAGAAAATATGATCTAACATTTCTATAAATGAACAAAAGCACCTTCTATTCTGATTCCCCCAAAAAAGGGAAGAATTAGTAACTTACCATTCAGCCTAAAGCATGCAAATCATAAAGGATTATTCAGATTTTTTTTTATTACCTCATACTATCTTCAAGGGCCAGAGAGGTAAACCATTATTACTAAAATGCTCATATATTTTTCTAGGGCTTGGCAAGAAAACTTGGGGTACCAGTTATTCACTATAGGTTAAATAGAATAGAACAATCCTCTTGTAATTGTATCATCTCAACTAATGAACTAAAAATTGTAGAGGGTTAAATCAAACCACTTCTTTTGATCCTACTCTACTATGACAGTATCAGAAAGTAAAGTTCTTATTGACACCTAAAATGTGTCCAGGTATACATTCCTTGCCTACCGAGTGGGAATCTCAATGGCCAAGAAACTAGGATTTCAAATGAGAACTATATTCTCTACCTATTTAAAAAAATATATTAGATTATGTTTAGTAGTAGATAATGATACTTTATCATTTGAGATAATATACCAACTATGCAACAGTTAGTTACTACAATCAGAACTTAACAAGCAATATAAATTATTTTTGGTTATGGTTTTCGTGGGTGTGTATGTATGTGTTACTTTGTATTTTGTTATTACTATTTACCTTCAGTTTTTAGTTTGTGTTTTGTTTTTGGATTCTTCCATTTTTATTTTACTTGGAAGAATAATTTTTAATGTTTTTGTTTCCATACTGCAGACGGTATCCAACTGTTGAAAAACGAGCCAAAGTCTTCAATGGAACAAGCTATGTGCCTATCCCTGAAGATGGTCCCTTTCTTAAATCATTACTCTTCGAACTTAGATTATTGGATGAAGATAGAGACTTCATGGAGAGCCGTGATAGCTGTTCTCGCATCAATAAAACATCTGTGTACGGACTTAAAGTAGGAGGTGAAGAACTCTGGCCAGTTGTTGCTTTTCTGAAGAATGGCATAGTATATGCTTGTGTTCCACTAGTTGAACAAACTTTATCCCCTCGTCCAGCACTAATTAGCATTAGTGCAATTTCACAAGGCTTTGAACTTCTTTTTGGGATACAGGATTTTCTTTACTCAAGTCAAAAAATTGATACTGAGCTAAATACAAAACTGAGCCAATTGCCTGACTTGCTTCTACAGGCTTGCCCATTTGGAACTTTACTAGATGCCAACTTACAGAATTCATTGGATAGTATCAGTTTTGCTTCTGTGACTCATCCACAAAAGCAGCCAGCCTGGAAAGCTGGAACATACAAAGGAAAACCACAAGTTTCTATTGCTATCACTGAAAAAGTAAAATCTATGCAATATGATAAACAGGATATAGCAGATACATGGCAAGTAGTTGGAACTGTCACTTGCAAGGTGAGATTTTTCTCTGGAACTTGTTTTATACCATTTACACCTATAGAGAAAAGTAAAATTTACTAATTTTAGTTTACATTGTTACATGACACTAGAGGCCCAATGCACGAAATTCATGCAAGGGGCTCGGCCCTTGCAGCTGCTCCCTTGGCCCTTGCAGCCCCAGCTTCGTCCGGAAAGTCATTTGGCTGTCCGGTCTAATTAGCATATTATGCCATTATTATAGACTAGAGGCCCAGTGCACAAAAATTGGTGCACTCGGGGGGCAGGAGGTCCCTCAGCCCGTCCTGTGCCCTCTCGCAGTCTGGGACCCCTCTGGAGATAACGCCCTGCTGGCTTAGGCCTGCTCCCTGGTGGCAGAGGGCAGGCCCAATCCCTAGGTGCAGCCCCTGGTCGGGCTCAGAGCAGAGCCGATAGGGGAGTTGGGGCACCGCCCCCTGTCATGCACAGAGCAGGGCGGATTGGGAGGTTGCGATGCCACCCTCAGTCACTCTCAGGGTAGGGCCGATTGGGGGGTTGGGGCACCGCCCCCTGTCACACTCAAGGCAGGGTCGATGGGGAGGTTGCGGCGCCACGCTCTGTCACACACAGAGCAGGGCCAATCGGGGTTGGGGCGCTGCCCCCTGTCACACACAGAGCAGGGCCCATCAGGGGGGTTGGGGCTCCATACCGTGTCACGCACAGAGCAGGGCCAATCAGGGGGTTGGGGCGCTGCCCCCTGTCACGCACAGAGCAGGGCCCATCAGGGGGTTGGGGAGCTCCCCCCTGTCACGCACAGAGTAGGGCCGATAGGGGAGTTGGGGCACCGCCCCCTGTCACACACACAGCAGGGCGGATCAGGGGGTTGGGGCGCCGCCCTCTATCACCCACAGAGCAGGGCCGATCAGGGGTTGGGGCGCTGCCACTGTCACACTCAGGGCAGGGCCAATGGGGAGATTATGGCTCTACCCCATCACACACAGAGCAGGGCCCGTGGGGTGGGGGTTGGGGTGCCACCCTCTATCACCCACAGAGCAGGGCTGATCAGGGGTTTGGGGCACCGCCACTCTCACACTCAGGGCAGGGCCGATGGGGAGGTTATGGCTCTACCCCGTCACACACAGAGCAGGGTCGATCAGGGGGTTGGGGCGCGGCACCCTGTCACACACAGAGCCGCAAGGTGATCGGGGTTGGGGAGCTCCCCCTATCAGGCACAGAGCAGGGCTGATCAGGGGGTTGGGGCGCCTTCCCCTGTCAGGAACAGAGCAGGGCCGATAGGGAGGTTGTGGCCCCGCCCCCTGTCACACACAGAGCCGCAGGGCGATCAGGGGGTTTGGGCGCTGCCCCCTGTCACGCTGATGCCGGTGCCGGGAGGCCTCTCAGCTCCGCTGATCCCGGTGCTGGGAGGCATATTACCCTTTTACTATATAGGATAGAGGCCTGGTGCACGTGTGGGGCCGGCTGGTTTGCCCTGAACGGTGTCCTGGATCAAGGTGGGGGTCCCCACTGGGGTGCCTGGCCAGCCTGGATGAGGGGATGATGGCTGTTTGCAGCTGGTCACACACCCTTCAGGGTGGGGGTCCCCATTGGGGTGCCTGGCCAGTCTGGGTGAGGGGCTGAGGGCTGTTTTCAGGCTGGTGGGTAACTGAAGCTCCCAACCGCTCCTTTTTTTCTTTTTTTTTTTATTCTGGGCCAGGTTTAGCTTTGAGGTTTGGCTCCAGCTCTTAGGCCTCCGCTGCTGAAAGCAGGTTTCTGGCCTTTGTTTACCTTCTGTACTTGAAACAATGTTGCGATCTTGCTGGCTGAAGCCCGGCGGACTAAAGCAGGTTTCTGGGGTTTTGTTTAGCTTCTATATTTGTAACATAGTTGCTTAGAGTTGCAGCTCAGAGGCCGGCAGCGGCAGGCGGGGAACGTTGGAGTCCTCTGTCACTAAAGCAAGCAAGCCTCGTGTTCGCTTTAAGCTGCCTGGTTGCCGGCCGCCATCTTGGCTGACAGTTGATTTGCATATTGCCCTGATTAGCCAATGGGAAGGGTAGCGGTCGTACGCTAATTACCATGTTTCTCTTTTATTAGATAGGATGATTATAGATTGTTGATTTTTTTATCATAAACAGCAGTCACTAGATGTTAAATTCATATCATATTTGGTAAAATTATCTTTTTGCATTCCTTACTTAGTTATATCTTGCTACAGTAATGAATTGCCCCATTGTCCCAACAAAGAACATTTATTATCATTTCTGTGGATCAGGATTTCAGGAGCAACTTAGTTGGAACTTCTGGTGTGGAGTCTCTCATGAGATTACTTCTAGATTTCAGCTGGAACAGTAGTCACCTGAAGGTTTGATTGGGGCTGGAAGACCTACTTGCAAGGTAGCTCACTCACATGACTGGTTAATGGTGGGAGGTCTTAGTTCCTGTCCATGTGGACTTTTCAACATGGTGCTTAAGAATGTCCTCACAACTTAGTGACTAGTTTTCTGTAGATCAAATGATTAGACAAGAGACAGACACAGGGCACAAGTAGAAGCTATATTTTTTATTACCAAAGCTGAGAGGTTAGATAGCTTCACTTCCACCATTTTCGGTTATTTAGTAACAGGTCACTAAATCTGGTCTGCATTCAAGGGGACTGGAATTAGGCTTCACCTTTTAAAAAGAGTCAAATAATTTGTGAAAATATTTTAAAACCACCATATCTGTTTACCATTTTCCCTGGAAGGGGTGAAATTTACAAACCTTGAATTTAATATCTAAAGCTATTTTGAAAGGCTCTTGATTTATTTAAACAAGTCCATGAGTTAATATGGGGGTTCTCTGGTTAGAAAGTAGGAAAAGTCAACAGAAATAATAATAGATAGCAGTGATCAGTACCATGTTGAATAATGATCTAAAATAAAAACCTCCAAGTACAATTTTTACAAGTGGATATTAATATTCTCAGATACCTTTATTTTTCTATTTTCCTTTATTCACTGTACTTACGAATATAAACTTTTTTATATATCAAACTTAATAATGAATGGTTATGTACAAATCCTATAGATAAAAGTAGATTTTAAGAATAGAGAAGTAGAACGGTCCTGGGACAAATTGGGTCTTCCTTTTTCCTTTTAACCTTAAAATGATTTATGAATACATGTGTTTAAACTCACTTCCATCATGATCAAAAATACATAGCAGTTACTAAGTTTATCAGAAGTATAAATAGCTCCAATGTTGAGGTGTTCGTGGGTTATGTTATTTGTAAGTCTTAGCACAGTTGAAGTCTTTTTTCTTATATTTCTGTGACAATAAATAGGGAGTCTATCTATTAAATAGGGAATATGCTAATTAGTCAAGCATCATGACCGCTCAGGAGGAGCTGCGTGCACAGATGGGCGGGAGGGGACTGTGTTCCGCCCCCACCCCAGCGGCCATGGGGAGGCTGGGGTTGGGGGCGGGCCAGAGTGGAGACACAACACACGAAGAGGCTGGGGCTGGGGGCGGGCCGGAGCGGAGACACAACACATAGAAGCGCCTGCCCCCACCCCAGCAGATACAATGCAGTGACCGGGGGCCTGCTCCGAGTGGCCTCGCAGCTTGGAGCACACCCCCACCCCAGCTGACACAGCATGGTGGCCGGTGCTACGAGGGTCAGGCACAGGTCCCAGCACCCTGCGGGGTGCCTCCTCGCGCGATTTCAATTGTGCGCTGGGCCTCTAGTAACTATTTATTTATAATAATAAATGCTAATTAGACTGGACGACCTTCCAGACAAAGCCGGGGCTGCGAGGGAAGCCTGGGTCCCGGGTGATAAAGGGAAGCCAGTGCCGGCACCTGGGGGAAGGAAGGCCTACTCTTGCACGAATTTTGTGCATTGGGCCTCTAGTGTATACATAGAGGTAATATGCAAATTGTCCGGGACACTGTAACATCATGACCGCTCAGGAGGAGGCTTCACGAGCAGGTGGGCGGGAGGGGACTGCATGCGTGGTGAGGTCTTTCCCTCTTCTACGCTCTCGATAAATAAATGGAAAAATATCCTCAGGTGAGGATAAAAGAAAGAAAGAAATGTCATATCCTATGTAAGAGACATCTTGAAAATGCCTAAAGAAAGTTGTCATTTTTTTGTGGTGAAGGGACTGTAGTCCATGTTGATGAAAACACCTTGGCGGCTGTGGCGGCCAGCAGTGGCAGCAGCAGTGGGGGCGGCGCCTTCCCCTGATCAGCCCGGTCGCCTCCTACAGAGGGAGGCCAGACTGCAGCTCCCGGATTGGAGAGGGTGCAGGTCAGGCTGAGGGATCCCCCTCCCCCCCCCCCCGTGCACAAATTTCGTGCACCGGGCCTCTAGTCCTATATAATAAAGAGCTAATATACTAATTAGACCAAACAGCAGAACAACTGTCCAGATGACCTTCTGGATAACCTTCCAGATGAAACGGGCTGCGAGGGCAGAGCCCCTTGCATGAATTTTGTGCATTGGGCCTCTAGTGTTATATATAATTTACTACTAATTAATACTATGGTGTTTAAATGTCTCAGCTCATTAATAAGCTGACCCTAGTTTATTGTGTATTGGAATTTTGGGTCGATTTCTATTTTTTTTGTCTGATACAAGTTATGGAAAACTTTCTTCTTCAAAAAACTTTCTCCTAAAAGTGAAAAGAGTAGGGCTGTACTTTAACCCACATATTAAATGTTTCTTTAAACTTGTATGTAAATAGTATATCTGTTAGCCAAACATTTTTTAAGTACTTCAGAAGCTTAGTATAGAAAGTTTTATTGTGAAGCCTGTTGTAAATGGAAATAATTATCCTCATTTTATCTTAGTACAGTGGGGCCTTGACTTACGAGTTTAATTCGTTCCGTGATGGAGCTCGTAACTCATATTACTCGTATGTCAAATCATAAAGTGAACGAGTGAGACACGTGATGCTGGGCTGATGTTGTGGCGTTCACTGTGACATTTGCTGCGCCAACTAGCAGTTGGGTATCCGAAGCTGGCTCATAACCCGAATTTTAGCTCGCAACTCAAAGCAGAAAATCGGCCGAGAGATGGCTTGTATCTCAAAAAACTTGTTAGTCGGGACACTCGTAAGTCAAAGCCCACTGTACTAGTAGATAACCAAAAACCAGTGGACTAAAGTTCTAGCCCCCACTTTACCACTAATTTTCCATGTCTTTGGAAAAATCTTAATTCTTAAATTTTTTTTTTTTTTAAATCAAGTAAGTTCCTAAACCCTTCTGTTTTATAATTTCTAGTTAAAAGTCCACATTTACATATGCCAGATTGGTTTAAAGGGTAGTACATAAATTTCTTCTAAAATGGATGTCCTCTTTCTATAGTAAATGACTGGTGATCTGGTATTTTAAATGATTAGGAAGCAGATAATTTGTTGGTGGTTTCCATAATGGCTGCATTTTCTTGATCCCTGTAAGAATGTTAGAAGCTAATTAAAAAAATATAAATTGACTGCTTTAAAATTATAATAGTATTTGCTATTAATATTTGCATATTTTGTTATTTTTATAAATATCTGTCAAAAAACAAAACCTTTTTTCTTGCTAATTTATATATGGAGATGAAATGACATGGTGTAGAAGTTAAAACACTAAAATATTTTTCAGTTTTATAGTGAGAGTATATGGCATTTTTATTTTCAAATGTGATTGATATTATTGTAACTGTCACTGAAAGACCTTTATAAGACAGTAGTTATGCATGGTGCTGTTTATATGCCTGCCTAGTCTCTAAGTACTTACATTTATAGCACATATATTCTTGAATTTATATATATATATGTCAATCAATAGATAAAACGAAAAAGGTGAAATATTTCAGATTAAAATGGAAAACAAATGTAGGCTCCATAATTAGAAAACTATATCCATTCAGCAAACATTTTTTTTTTTTTTGGTGTCTCATGTGCATAGCAATGTGCTAGACACTAAGGATGTGAAGAAAACAGAGGTCTGTGAAGCTGTCGAATCTAGCTTCCATGACCTTCCTAGAATACTGACTTCCCTTTCCCCTCTACCTTCCAAGTCTCTCATTACCTCTCATTGGCAAACTAACCAATAACACATAGAAAAAAAGATCTTGGGCTTCTCTATATTGCAGAGGTAGGCTGTGGAGCTGACAATACAGAATGTAAGGCCTCACACAAAGCATCACATGAACTGAGGTTACAAAGAGAAAAGATTGTAGCTGGAGGGAATAGCACATAAAAAGCATGGAGGTATAGGATATTATGACTTATTCAAGGAAATTGAAGAATTCATCATGTCTACAGCATTAGTTGCAGGGTAGGAAATGATTGAGATGTAGGTGGGAGCCAAACAATGAAAGGCTTTCAAAGTAATACAAAACTGAGAGGCAACTACTGAAAGGTTTTGAGCATGGATACAGTATAATTAAAATTATGTTTCATTAAGATAACGACACTAATGGAGGGTGGATTGATTAGAGGAAAATAAATCTAAATACATTTAGAAGACTATGACCAAAATTGCAAGGTCCTATACCAATGTGTTTGCAACAAGAATGGAGAGAAGTCACTGGGTTTAATATAGCTTTTTAAGGGTTGAAAATGTAAGCAGAGGATTCCAGGAAGGTTCTCCTAGTCTCTGGCTTGGGTGTCTGAGAGCATGATAACACTATTGAGGAGAACAGACAGCAAAGAGAACAATGTCTTAAGAGAAAAGTAAGTAAGTTGTGGAAAATGACTCAGATAAATTCTGAAAAGTCTTGCCCAGAAGATGTTTGCTTCTAAGATCTTGGTAATAATTTTCCTTTTGTATTACAGTGTGATTTAGAAGGAATCATGCCAAATGTTACCATCAGCTTGAGTCTCCCCACCAATGGATCTCCACTTCAGGATATTCTAGTCCATCCTTGTGTGACTTCTCTTGACTCTGCCATTCTGACTTCTAGTAGCATTGATGCAATGGATGATTCTGCATTTAGTGGACCTTACAAATTTCCATTCACTCCACCTTTAGAATCATTCAACTTGTGCTACTACACTTCCCAGGTAAACAACCTTGAAAAAGTTGAGACTTTGCAGATCATTCATACATTTGGTCCAAAGGAGAACTTTTCATGAGTTATTTACCAGATCAATGAAAATGAAGATTCAGTTCTTTGAATAAAATGTTTCTTATTTCTGGTGTCTGTAACAGCACTTAATGTTTTCAAAGTCATGGAATTTTTTTTAATGTTCCCAAATAAGGAGTTTATGGTCATAGGGAAGACCTTGGTATAATTATGGTTTGAACCATGAACATGTAAAAATGCCTTTAATCCTAGGCAGCTGTGGTTACAAATATATAATATTATTAGTAGCTGTTTATTGCTTATTGAAAAACTGCTGTGTCAGACATTGTCCTAGGCACTTTACATGTATGTTCTCTAACACTTTCAAAACCCTTGTATTTTTATCGCCACTTTACAGAAGAGGAGAGTCTCAGAGAAGTTCAATGGCTTGTACAAGGTCATGTAACTGATAAGTAGCAGAGCTTAGATTTGAACCCAAATTTTCCAGACTCCAAAACCTACTTTACCATTTGTTTCTTGTAATTGTGAATCAGTGGTTTAGAAAAGCCTACTCAAGCTAGCTTAAGTAAACTGAATTTACTTTGAGAAGACAAGAGGCAATCTCATTGTCATTCAAGGATAGGAAGTAGACCCAGGCTTTACTGAAACTAGAATCAGAAATTAAAATTAAAAGCACTCTATACTCAAGGTCTACACTGTGCATCTCTGTTTCTCACTCTCCTCTTCCACCTAGCTTTCTCAGCTTGCATATGTCCTCCAATACTAGAATGTGTACTGTAAAAGTAGGTCCTTCCTATTTCTTCAGATGTACTAGAAATATTGATGGGCTCACCCCAGCTTACAGATTGTCTCACTTTCAATCAATTATTGATAACCAATTTAGTAAGCTACTGCTGAGCTGGATGTGGGGTGGGGTGTCACAGTATACAAATGGGGCAACAGGAACTGTGGGCAGAGTGTCACTGCCTGTCCTAAATGGCAGGTCATAGAGAACCCGAAAGAGGGGAACCTGGGTGAGCAAGAGTAGGAAAAAGAATGTAAAAATGAATTGCACGCCTTTGTCAGGCACCTTTCTCATCTCTGGAAACAAAAAGAGATGGAAGAATCTTTGCCTTTACAATGAATGTAGCTTCATCATCTATTATTATCCAAGCAACTTGGAGTAACCCATTAGTCATTAAAGATGTATCTTTAAATAATGAGTATATTACTGCAAGACTTTTTTCTCAATTGCCATTGATATTTTAGACCCATTAACCTGACAATTATATAAAAGTTTGTATATGTTTATTTCCAGGTTCCTGTCCCACCAATTTTAGGCTTTTATCAAATGAAAGAGGAAGAAGTACAACTAAAAATAACAGTGAATTTAAAACTTCATGAAAGTGTGAAAAATAATTTTAAATTCTGTGAAGCTCATATACCATTTTACAATAGGTAGGAATAAAATAACATGATGCCATGATTTCTGCCTTCCTAGTACATTTCCACTGCCCTACAGGGAATTACCTGTCTTTGTTTTTAACCTTACTTATAAGATTTTTTTAATACTATTCAAATGAATGCTGATTCTGAACCAAAACATAGTGATAGAAATAATCTCTACCTTTAAATGTATCTTTATTTTTCTGGTTAAACATGCTAATAAATATAAACATAAGCCAGCATAGCTTTCTCAGAGATTGTTTCACTCCTGGCTTTATTTCTAGCAATTTCTCTCTACTCTATATAAGTCATGCCTTGCTATCAACTATCTGGTGAATTAAATCAATCATATCATAAGATTACAGTTGACTCATACACAGTTGAGGGTTGGGCCACCAACCCTGCGCAGTGGAAAACCCATGTATAACTTTTGGCTCCTCAAAAACTTATCTACACTTGACCCTCCACACCTGCGGATTCCCAACTATAGATTGAAAAGGTTGACCTGTGGACACCACAGGTTTGAACTGTGTAGGGACCTATGTTAATTAAGGGTCAACTGTACTTCCTCATCATTCTACTTTTAAACTCGTTCTGCAACATAGTTCTTTGCAAAGTGTATCTAAATGTATATTAAAATTATAGTTTTAATGTTATGTCAATCTATGTGACTAGTAATATATTCCATATGATTTTATATTTATTTTTAGAATTAATAATGAAATATATGTCATCACCAAAATGTTTATTGTGCTTCTGGCATTTTTTGAGATATAATATTATTTGTTCTACTCTATTCTGCCAACTTGAATATAGAAATGCTTTTATGCTTCCCTTGTATTAAGTTACAGTAGCAAGATTTGACTTAGATTTCTTAAAATTGTTCTATCTGTGACTTTTTTTTTTTTGTATTGTGTCCTTTTTTAAAGAGGTCCAATCACACATGTGGAATACAAAGTTAGTTTTGGCCAGCTCGAAGTATTTCGAGAGAAAAGCTTATTGATCTGGATTATTGGTGAGCCAGGTTTTGTTTATTGATTATTTTTCATTCATTTGCTTTAGAATCTACTTAATTTAGGCTATTTGATTGGTAAATTTTTGTTTTTAGGACAGAAGTTCCCAAAATCAATGGAAATTAGTCTTTCTGGAACTGTAACTTTTGGAGCCAAGAGCCATGAGAAGCAGCCATTTGACCACATTTGCATTGGGGGTACAGCATATTTAAAGGTAAATATATTTGAATAACTCACTCCCTTAGAAACCTTTCCTTTGTTTCTAAATTACATATACCTAATTGATTTTTAATGTTTTCTAGTAATTTTTTAAAACTCTGGGTTTTTTTATCTGTGCTGTTCCTTTTTTATTTTTGTGAGATTATTTTTGTTTAGTGTTAGTAACTTTCTTTTTCACTTAATACTGTAAAACTTTTAAGGTGAAGCAGGTGAGTATGACCTAAACACCTCACCTTAATCTATTTCTGCCCAGCTATCATTATCACATGTGAAATTTGTATACCAAAAATATAAAATGTAGTCCTTTTCCCCTAGAGTTATTTTCAATAATCCATGTCAACAATTGATCAGTGCTAACTGCTTTTGGTATTTCAAAGACAAAGTGAGCACTTCTGACCAATATGGTCAAGGAAAGCATTGCAGTAGAAATGGAATTTAAGCAAAACTCTGAGGCCCAGATAAGCATGAATTTGAAGCCATGAAGACTAACATTTGTATGAATTAAAGAGATAACATAGAAGATTGAAGGATAACAAAGCACGCTTAGGAACCAGTGCCAGGAACAATAGTAGCACATAAGGCTGGATACATGGTTTAGGTGTGGATTGTAGAGGGTTTCAATCTAATTTTTATTCCTTTATTAGAAAATGTTATAATTTTTTTGAGTAGGGGAGTGAGTGGTCTTTCAGAAAGTGATACTCTATAAAGATTAAGCTGGAATGTATGTGAAGAAGGTGAGAGAAAAAAATAACCATAGACAAACTATTTTTTAGCTCTGTTAGTATTCCAGATGAAAGGTGTAAGTTAATGATGCTGAGCTCCTGTAGTGTCACAGAAAGAGAAAGGATGAGAATAAAAGGAAGAGACTGCTGTAGGAGTTGTAATAAACATAAAGCCTTGGTCACTAATTAAATATAGAGACAGTAAATACTTGAAAGTCAAAGATGGTATTATTAAAAACGTATGTAATTTAAACAAGACTTGAGGCTCCAAGAGAGTGGAGTCCATGTGAGTCTCATTCATTCATTGTTTTACTACCAACATCTAGTCCAATACCTGCCACAATAAATATTTGATAAATGGATCAATATAGTAGTTAGAAGAAAATACTGATGTGGAGAAAGTTGAGAGGGAGCGGGCTTCATATCATGAATGTTGCTGGTGATAGCAATGTATCCCAGTGTAAGTGTTCAGAAGGTAGCTAAAAATTTGGAGCAGGATTCTCAGGAGGGAGCTCAACTATATATAGGATTTAGGAGCTATCCATGGAAAAGAAATAGTCGAGTCAGTGGAAATAAGATTTTTTTAAAAAGAGAGAGAGAAAATAAGGAGAAAGATTTGGAAGAACCAATGAAGGAAATTGGAGAGGTGATCAAAAGTAACAGCAAAATCTAAATAGAATAGTATCAAAGAAGAGAGATTGAAATCCATACATAAAAGCATTAGTACTTCTGAAGTCAGAAGTACACTTGTGACATTTATTTCTTCTGTCTTAATTTCAACTATGTCCACAAGCCTTGTTTCAAGGATTATTATAAATATTTCTGCTTCCAGATATTTTTCAGAAAAAATGTGGGATGTTGGTTACTACATTGTATGTCTTTCAAAGGTAGGGATTAATGACTTTTCTATTTATTTCCATCACCTAACCAGATGTAGTTTAATTGAAAGCATGTACTACATATTTGTGTTCACTAAATAGACTTATTTTTATAATATCTAGCTTTTTGGAAATCAACCGTGTCATAACTTTCAGCATCCAGAATTATGCTAAACAAGCAATTAAAAGCCCTTTATTGTTGAGATAATTTGAGTTGCAACAGGAAAGACATTGCAAAGATCTGGAAATTACATTCTATGCAAGTGATCAGTTAGTTTTGTAATCAAAATGAGAAAGTTAGGAAGTGGGAGAAATTTGCAAAGAAGGGAGAGATAGAAGAAAGAAAAAGTATAAAAAATGTTATCAGGGTATTGCAAAATCATGAACCTTTAGCATCAAAGATGAAGAGAACCGAGGGGACTGGAGCTATGTAAGATATAGAACCTTCATGGTTAATGTGAATATCATTGTGACTCAGGCACCCAGGGCTATGCTTTCAGAGAAGGTACTAATGGCCCTTGCTATTAGAATCCCACATAATAATTGGCATTTATACTGATGACACAATATTATCAATTAAATCCGAGACCTATGGATTACATTTTAGAAAGGTTTTATAGGTGAGAGAAGGGGTGATTTCTTAGTTATATAACAGATAAAGTTCATTTTTCTGGAAAATTAAGTAGAGCATCTCATTTCTTCTGAACCCCAGAATAAGCTGGTGTTTTTCTTTTCATAATTGTATTTTTGTGGTTTGGTAGAACATCTATGTTTCTGCCTGTAGAAGAATTATGATCTAAATATATCACAACCACATAGCCTTAGAGGTAGAAGAGAATATCCAGAACACCAGACACCATAGGGGAAGGAGCATTAGCTTGGTAATCAGTCAGGTCTGAGTTCAAGTGCCAGCTCCGCTACTTACATACTGGGATTCTAATTGCTTTCATCTCTGAACTTCAGTTCTCTCATTTATACAATAAGGATACCTTGCAGTAAGGATCAGAGTTCATATTAGTGAAGTGCCCGGTATATGTGAAGGACTTCATGATGCCAGCCTTACAAGGAAATGACCCTAATGCAAAGGGGAAATGGTGTGTGTATATGTATACATATGCACACACACACACACACACACACACACAATATTCAGCTTCAATATTTGTGATTTAAAATTTGTGAACTTTGTGAATTCCCAAAATTGCGTCAAGGAAAATAATGTGATCTTTTATTTTTACCAAAGAATCACCTCAATTTGGTACATTTTTCTTCTTTGTCTAGCTTCATTTTAGGATCTTAGATTACACACTTACTGGGTGTTACGCGGATCAGCATTCAGTTCAAGTTTTTGCATCAGGAAAACCAAAAATAAGCACACGTAAGTTGTATAGATTCATACTAACTTGAGGGAATTAAAATGATGTTATACAGTTATTACCTAAGGTAAAAGTAAAATGTAACTGAAAAAGATCAGGGAATAATCCCAATTTATAAAATTCTGGCCTGATCCTATTCTGTGTAAGAATTTGTGTACTTTATATTGTCCTCTGCCTTCTTCTGTTTATGAAATTATCTGGATGGGCAAGAATTGGTGTAGAGATGGACTTTAAAATTGGATCTATTTTGCTCTGTTTATAATATACACTTTTATTCAGGGGTTATTCATAGGGGCTTTGATGTTGGACAGACAAGGGTTTAAGTCTAGCTCAGACAGTTTGTTATCTGTGTAATTTTAGGCAAGTTAACTTTTCAAAGTTTTAGTTTCCGCATCTGTAAAATGGAAATAATAGTATTATTTACTTCAGGATTCTAAGCAATTACTTGTTAAGGACAATAATAAGTTCTGTGTAATGTAATTAGAATGTCATATTCTTTACCTTCTTAAGGTTTTTCCTATTTTCTCCTGCACCATTTTTTGGGGGCGGTTTTTCAAAGAGATGATTATATGTAGAATGGTCTTCATAATGGTGTGTGTGTGTGTGTGTGTGTGTGTGTGTGTGTGTGTGTGAAGGCATAATATAGTTATGTCAGTTTGGACAAACCAGTGGTTTCGTCTAAATTCAAACAGACCAATATTTTAGAATGTATCTATGGAATACAGAATGCAAAATGTTAACTTAAATAATAAGGGCTTCTCTGGCCGGTTTGGCTCAATGGATAGAGTGTTGGCCTGCGGACTCAAGGGTCCCAGGTTCGATTCCGGTCAAGGGCATGTACCTTGGTTGCGGGCACATTCCCCAGTGGGGAGTGTGCAGGAGGCAGCTGATTGATGTTTCTCTCTCATCAATGTTTCTAGCTCTCTGTCCCTCTCCCTTCCTCTCTGTAAAAAATCAATAAAATATAAAAATAATAATAATAATAAGGGCTAACATGTATTACTTATCGTATGCCAGGAACAATTCTAAGTATTTTATGTGTTAACTCATTGATTTTTATATAATCCTATTATGTGTTATTTCCATTTTACAGAGGGGGATGTTGACGGAACAGAGAGATTAGAGTCACGTAACTAGTAAATGGCAGATCTAGGAATCAAGCCCACATAGTCTAGCTCTGAAGCCTGGCCGCTTACCCAATATGCTATGTTGCCTCTCAGTGTCACTAAGTTCCCGAACTGGGAAAAAATAAATAAATAGAAAGATAAGGTAATATATGCTAACTATATCCTTTTCACTGTGAAGACGGGCATGAAGAAGAAAGGTAGAAAAGGCAGAATTAGATATTTAGTGATGTGTGTGATAAGAATTTACAGGTGTCTAGCTCCAAATGAACATTATCTTAATTTTACATAGCAAAAAAAGTTACTTCAAAAAGAGCTGTCATTTGTCCAAAGTTATAAAGCTATTAAAGCAAAAAGCTTAGATTTGATCAGAACTATGAGAAACCACTGAAGCCGAGAGGTGGGGTAAGAGATCAACCGAAGGACTTGTATGCATGCATATAAGCACAACCAATGAACACAAGCCACTGGGGGGTAGGGGAGACCGGGGGAATGTCAGGGGGGTGGGGGGGAGGAGACATATGTAATACTCTTTGTAATACTTTAAGCAATAAAAAAAATAATAATAAAATTAAAAAAAAAAAAAAAGAAACCACTGAAGCAATCTTTTAAAAACATTTTTAGAAAGTTCTATCTCTGAAACTTTCAATGGGTAGAGAATAATTGCAAGGTCAAAATCAGGACCTTGGTAAAGAGGTTACAAAAGGGAAACCAATGTAAATTTTTTTTACTGTTTTTGTGGTTGAAGTAATGATCCATAGAAACAAAATTTAGGGAAAATGTGAGGAGGGGAAATGGCCGATTTGACATAAATGAGGGATTTTGGCATAAATTTGACAAAAATAAACTTAAGCATGGATTATTTAAATGTTTTAGTGAAACCAAATTTTTGAAATGGTAAGAGTTATAATAATGCCTTGAAAAAGTCAAATTAAAATGGATATTTCAAAGTATTGCCTTCCTTTAAATAATTGTATTCCACAACTTTAAAATATCTGTCTCTTACTGAATTTTTGTTAATACAATTTATTAACATTGATCATTTATTTCTTTTATTTTTCAGACCGGAAACTAATTTCTTCTGACTATTACATCTGGAATTCTAAAGCTCCTGCTCCAGTAACATATGGATCATTATTACTGTAATTATCTCATGTTTAAATAAGGCTTATACAATAGTAACATAGCCTAAATTAAATCATAGTCTTTTATTTTTAATGTGTATGCATATAACCCATGAATGAGAAAACATTAAATGATTTAATTATAAAAATGCTCTTGTTTGATGTTTTTAGTCTGACATAGTTTGGCAAAAAACACACTTTCAAGACTAATGTCTCCAATTTTGTTATTCTTTGATTTTTCTCAACTATGATTCAGAGCATAAACCAGTAGTAATTCTAGTCCTGAGTTACCCTGCCACGTGTTCCTTCCTGTACCTACGGCAGACATGGCTAATCGATTGTAGCCCTTTTACTCCACTGAGCTTCCTGGATACAGGCTCAGGTTCCTCTTCAGTTCAGACCTGCAGGCAGCCACTCTTGATGGATTGGTGTTCCGAACCTGAGTACCAAGCTTCTAGCTAGTACATTGTGTTGTTACAGAATGCCAGAGAACACATTAGAAACAACTGTAAATCTCTTGAGAGGAAAAAAAAACAGCCAATGAAAACAAAGCAAAATTCTTTAACTGGTAAACTGTTCTTCATCAGAACTACCCAATTGACTTGTAAAGAATGTGCATAATTCTAGTTACGGTGTTTATCTCTGTTCTGGAGTTACTTTTCAGGTAAGCTTATTATCTGCCACAATAACAATTTGCTTTAGGGTGTCAATAAGAATAGTAAGAGGGGTGGTATATCTTCAGAAGATGAGCATGGTGTTTTGTGATCACTTAATGTGTGCAGCCAAATTTTTAAAGATAAATTTAGGTATTATATTGCCTTTTTCATATTTTATTATTATTAAATTCATTAATGAATAAATTCAGGTAAAAATTCATATAGCATATTTTCTTTAAATTTGTCATTATCACTCTCTTATTAGCATTATCTTAGTTTCCTCAGGAATCATCTAGTCATACTCTTTATTCTTTACCTGTCTTGACAATTTTATGTCTCATTCTGTTTTCAAAGCCGTTCATTGTCAAGTTGGATTTTAAGTGACCATTCAAGAAAAGATAAAATCTCAAGATCCTCAAATCTTAATCCATGTCAAGTTTCTTTTCATGGAACAGAATTAGAAGTGTTATGAAAAAATACACATTACAGATTAGTATTCAATTAAATTATATCTTAGTTTCTATTTTTTAATGAGTCTCTTAAGGAAAAGCTTAGAAAAAGCTGCTAACTCCTTAAAAGGGAATTGTGATAGTTTGAAGGGATATTGCATATAAATTTAGGATTTGAAATGTGATTTTTTTAATTAAGGTCAATCCTACTCATTATAAACTCTTATTTTTTGCAAGGCATTATTGTGGCATAATGTTCTCTGTTCAAAATTATCCTAGTAACACAGGAAATAGAATAACTGCCTGATCAGAACTTTAACTTATTAGTCTAGCTTAATCATAGTAGTAAAAACCTTCCTTTTGAAAGAATAAAAAAAAGACTCCCCTTTAGTCATTTGATCCCTCTTTAACTCAAGGAAAGCTTATATTTAATTTATGTTACTATTAATGGAGCCATTTGAACATCTTGATTGTATAAATGTTCAGCAAAGTATACTAAAATAGGCATGAGGCGTTTATCCAGTGAATAGGCAGAGATTCAGTATAATAATCCCCTCGGGAAAACTGTAAGCAATCAGAAAACCAGTGAATCTGGCTTGACATTTCTAGAAACTTGAGGAAAATCTAGGGCGGACTGGAAAGTGTGGGGCCATGGGCAGCCCAAGGCCATCTGTTGCCATTCCATTCTAACGTAATGCTACAAAACTAAAACCAGCTCTTGTTTTCTTCCCGTGGAGATCAGCTGGACACATTGTGATGCTTTTGATTTTGTCTAGAAACCTGTCACTTCGGGATAATTTCTGAAGACAAAGTCTGCTTCCCGTTTGGTAGGTGACCTGTTTAATGTTTTCTCTGTGTCTGGGAACTCCTTAGTGTAATTAGCGACCTTTGAACTCCACAACTAATCCTGAGCTATTTTGTATTCCTTACTCATCTTTAAGGCTGGACCTTTCTTTTCTTCAGACTCCGCTGCCACAATTAAAGAAGAAACAGCTGCATTTCAAAGGGATTCCGATCCAGAAGCTTAATCGTGATTGACATGTTCTTATTCTAAGCTATAAGACACTCTTAAGAGTCCTTTCTTGGGTTAAAACTTCAATCATTTTCTAAAAAATTATCTCACTATGGATTTTATTCATTTTCTTTGATAACTATTCTTTGCATTTTTTAACTTGAAAGATGCTTTGCGTTTGCAGTGAATATGAGCACCTATTTCCAAAGATTTGGATGGTATCAGACCTACTCTAGATGCAAAATTGCTAAATTCCTTTTTAGTGCAAAATATGATTATGAACTCTGTTATCTATCATATAGGTGATTATTCTTCAGTAGATCCAAATGGTACAAAAAGTGTTAAATTTCTGAAAATGTGCTCCAGAAAAAATGGTTCATGATTTTGGTGAAATCCTTCTTTTCTAAACAATATTTTTTAAACTTTTTTAAGCCCTTACAGAGGTGGGCATTTTTTAACTTTCTTAAAATAATTGATTTAAATATCAGGTTTGAAGTAAATAGCCCTGTCAGAAATTCTTAAGAGAATTATTTGTTTAAAAATGTTTTCTTGATTAAACATTAGTCTGCCTTATAAAATTCTGTTTTACACCAACCAAGTATTTGAGTTGAAATTGTGATTTTATGTATTGTATAATTTAAGGTCTCTCGGAACACAATTTTGTACATAACAACAGCTAATATTCTCCTTTTTTTTATTATAGTATTTCAAACCACTTCATAGCCATTCATAGACTCCTACACCACCCCTGGGAGGGAGGGAGGTCGAGTTTGCATCCAGAGCCTCTGCAGGGACTGCTGCCACAGCAGAACGGTTGTTTCTAAGACAAAGGTCAGGAAAGGGATGTTAATAAACAGTCCTCAGGTTTAAGGGACTTTTTTAGGATTACATCTTAAATTCCAACAAATCAGATTTAGGAGTTACTGAAAGTGAAATTGATCCATCCCTCATCCAAACTTTGCAATACTTTCCTGTTCTGACATCATTTAGATAGTTGGCTGTATTATCAGATTAGAAACCATTGTACCACGATGCTGAAAGGAAAAGGAGGCAAAAAGCTAAACATAGGATAAATTCTGAACCTTTTAACCTGGCTGAAGTACGTTGGTCCCTGTTATGCAAATACCTTCAATCCTCTGCTAAGTTCAGTGGAAATAATTTTCTTGAATGACAGGTTTATTCAGCAAGGATTCAGTTGGTGATTAATCCCCCTTTGATCTAGGGTATTTCACTTAACTACCAGTTACCTCGTTCTGACAAAGTGCAACTGAGATTAGGGAGATCACTAGAACACTACCAGGGTGTGCGTTTATTCTCTCTAACCTTTTAAAGCAAGGGCCAAGAATGCAATTTATTTTCAGTATTTGAAGATGTAAAGTCCTGTCTGCTAAGTTAGAAAGTCAATTGAATACCAAATGAAGTTTATTTCTTACGTAATAGAACAAACATTTCTTTTTTGCTTTGTCTAACAATGATTTTTAGGAAACATAGGCTTTGAAAAAAGAAGAAAGACTACATTCTAAGTATATCTTCTAGTTTTGTTTCATGTACTAGAGAATATACTCATTGACCCTGAGATAGCCCAAAAATCAAAGCAGTCACTACAATTTAGGTTGAAAAAATGCTTCAGTTTTATTAAATTGCATGGTTTCTTCCCACCCTCCTCCCATTTAAAAAGGTCATGCTATGTGGTAAATCCAATTGCGGAAACATGTAATACACAAGTATTCATCTTAAGACTTCTGATTTCAAGGCTTTATTTGTTAACTTTGTCCTTTCTTGAGGAAAACAACTTAGTTCCCATCATAAGAATAATTGCGTTCACTTTCAGAATGAAGATTTTTGTTCATAAAGAAAGGTAAATGATGCCATTACAAGAATACTCCTAAGTAATTATTTTAAATTATCAAACTAACCATTTTCCACAGCATTGTTTACTATTTTTCTGCCTTCCTTTCCATTTAGCTGTGTACCTCTTCTTCCATAACTTTAAGACTTTGAAATATTCTTTGGAATCTTGCACAATATTTTAAGAATAACATTTTAAGATACATTTTTGCTACGGTTTCTCAAAAAAATTCATCTTTAAAAACTTACCATTGTCAAAATTTATCTTGCAAGATATCAAATGTGCGGATCTATTCTGCATATAGTTTAAGACCCTTAAAAAAGAAACAATCTTTAACAAAAATTTGTTTTTAAATAGTAAGTTATTATTAGTGATTAATGTTATTATAGACAGAGCATTCTAAGTGCTTTATAATTGTTCATTATCCTAGTAGCAGTTTGCAATACAAGTTATGTATTTACATAATTATACATTATTTTGTTTCAAAGTCTCTGTGACCCAATTTCTAAATTGAAACAATGACTCAAAGAAGTACCTCTAACTTCCCTGGGTATCAGCCTCTTCTGTTTCAATTTAGTAACCAAACTTTCGAAATATCTTTTGATAGCCGGTTACTTAATCACAGAAATTGAGGATCAGAAAAAATATAAGATGAAAGGCAGGACCCCCTGGCTATGTTGCTAAGAAAACTAGTATTTTTAATAATTCACTATGCAGTAAATATTTTTAATGAAATGTTGCAATATATTTTGAAATATGTATCAGAATCTGTATAAATCATATGTACATGTATGTATATGTAATATATATAGTACATATGTTAAGTGTCATGTCAGAGGAAATAATTCAAATATCTTTCCTCCAAACACAGTGTTAGTTAATAGTAATGAAGAGGTTCATTAACATAAAAATTTCCAAAGAACTCATGAGATCACTGTTACAAAATGATTAAAACTTATGAGCTTCAGCTAGCTTCTAATTTTTTTCATCAACTGTTTTAGAGGTATGATAATATTGTCCACATACAGCCTGCAGCAGTGCAAGGCCATATCTCTATGACTAGTTTATTGTCTTGTAAGCAGGCTGCTCTGAGGTCAAGGTTGATTTCTCTAAGACCCTGGCTAATCTGCACAATTGTTGGCAGTGTAGTGCTAATATATGATGCACAGCATTTAGCATTTACAGATTGACAGATGCCCTGGGATGGAAACCACCTGATGAATTGTTTCTCCAGTAGGATATGTGAAAATTTGTATATTTTAATAATCCGTCAACATGTAAAGTCAAAGTGTATGTTTCCTTTAAATGTCTTTTTAAATGATAGCTTTTGTAAAAGAATATTGTTTTCCCTCTTAAAATTTTTACTTTTTCTCTCAAGGGACTTGAGTGCCCTCTGCAGGTTATAAAGAGATAATTAATGGCAATATTTATTTTTAAACCAGTGATTTTTTCCCTTTTAGAAGCACAGCCTGCATAAATGTGACCCATTTTATTTATATTGTTAACTTTGTTGATTTTCCAGTGATTGAAGGAAGAGTTTCTTTTCCTGGCCTGTTTTATTTAGTGTGAAGTAATATCATTGAATTTTACAAATCACCTAGCTAGGGCTCTTTGAATATTGGAACTATACACATTGGAACTAATACAAAGTCCCTCACAGAAAGGAGATTGGGAAAATTTAGCTATTTTGAAATTTATTGAAGATGTAGAGAATAACTTGATTTAATTCCCATTACATAATTAGACTATTTATACATTTGAAATAAGCTTTACTTTTTCAATATGCATTGTGTAAAATTTTTAAATTACATGAGTTCTATTTCTTAATCTTGTTAATGAGTGATGATTGTGTTCAAACTAAAAAAGCTTTACATCTGATTCACTTAAAGCTGCCAGGGGAACTAAATATGATGAGAACAAGAAGAATGATTGGGTCACATTAATAGAAATAGATCTTTTTGCAAGAACATAGCGATCCTGATCATCAACCTTGAAAAGTAAATTAGAACAAGCAAATTGCTATTGAAAAATTCTTTCAGCACTCTGCTGTTGCTACTCAGCTAGTCATGGCTCAGCCAGAGGCAAAGAAAAGTGCAGTTTGGTGTTAACAAAGGAAACATTATTAAAGTGAATGTTTACATTGTATTTATTGAAGTGTTGAAAGAATATTTGTTGCAACTTCAGCCTACTGTTCTCCCTGCTATAATATTGCATGAGTGATGATAAAAATAATTTGTACATTTTAAAAGAATAAGTAACATTTAACTTAAGTGTTTGTCGATTGTCTTCAAAATGCATAAATATCAAACTTAATACTTTCTTATTTAAAGATTTCTGTCTCCAGCAAATGTATCTCATTAAAAAAAAAAAAACTCATTAAATATACCTTCTGTTTATCTCCACACCTGCTCTTAGCCAAAAGGTCGAGAAGCAATCCAAGGATTTCCAAATGCTTTATGTAACTTTTCCCCTAGAAACTACAGTGCATAAGAAATAATAAACTGAAAATTAAGCAAATATGAAAACAATTGTGAAATTGCTGAAGTGAGTGTGTAATTGAATGTATAATATGTTCATTGGAGAAACAGCTTGTGAGCAATTATTTTAAGCTACTTCATAAAAACTAACTTGCGAATAGACAACGGTTGAAACCATGCATGCCAATCGGACTTCTAACACTTTAATAAGTATTATAAAATGGGAAAGTTAATTAAAAATTCAGAAAGAATTTAAGCTTTCACATATCTAAAATGAACAATTTAAATTAACTCATGTTATAGAAGTATAGAATTTAACAGGAATTAAAGTACCATTTTTTACTTGGTCCCTTTTTTTTTTTTTTTTTAACCTGGTCTCCTAGCAGGTGTTATTGAATACAACAATTCAGTATTCTGTAATCTCTTTTGGACTGACTAATTTTTGAAGAACTAATTTGAGATTCACCAACAGTAAAATCACAATCTTACATATTTCAGCCTAAAAATCTTATCACAGCAAAGATGATTAGCCCATGCAATAGGCTCCTGAGAACCTTTTAGCCAGATACTTTATTATTAACCATTACAATAATATATTTACAGAGGATCATATTAAATTTGGAAGAATTTATAAAAATTGTTTTTAAAGTTATGAATTACCTGTGTATCAGTTTATATTTAAATATCTTATGTAATATTTTCCTAAGGAACTTCAATCTTTGTCCATAATGTAAAAAAAAAATTTTTTAATCTAAAGCAAATGGCAAGCCACTAATTCTGCTTTGCTAAGGAAGTAACCAGAAGTGGTTAGTGATGCTTATCACTTGTTAACTAATCGTAGCAAGAGGACTTTTTAACTAATATGAATATCAGTGGCTTCGTGCCCATAATATGTATTTCCCTTATACATATTAAAATAGCACATGCCATCTTATTTAATTTTAAAGGCCTAAACACAAACAAGGCATGACTTGGAATTAAAAACTGCTGAGTAATCTAGTTGAAATGGAAACCCTGCCCTGGCTTCCTTGGCTCAGTGGATAGAGAGTCAGCCTGCAGACTCAGGGCCCCTGGTTCAATTCTAGTCAAGAGCACATTCCTGGGTTGTAGGCTCAATCCCCAGTAGGGGGTTGTATAGGAGGCAGCCAATCAATGAGTCTCATCATTGATGTTTCTATCTCCCTTCCTCTCTGAAATCAACAAAATACATTTTTTTTAAAAAAAGAAAGGGAAACCCTAATCTTCTATAATAATAAAAGGGTAATATGCTAATTAGATCAGTCGAAGGACCTTCTGGATGTTTTTCCAGACGAAGCCAGGGCTGCAGCCGTGGGATCAAGGCAGCGGCTGCAGCTGTGAGGGAGGGATTGAGGTAACTGCCGCTGCTGCTAAAGCCTACTCTTGCATGAATTTTGTGCATCGGGCCTCTAGTTTGGTCAATAAAAGGTAATTAATGTTAAACTTTTATTGTGCGTCTATTATATGCTACTCCAGAACTAGATAAAACAATTCTACCTGATTTTGAATGGTGTAACTCCTGGAATGTATTAACACTGTAATACAAGAGACTTCTAGATATTGCTAATACAGAAATTGTCCAAATAAGTGGTGGTTGAGGTTCTCCAGGCAGACAACGGAAAGAAGGGCATCCTAGGGGCAACATATCTCTGTAGATCTATCTGACAAGCAGAATCCCAGGAACCTGAACATATTATATGGTAAGAGTAAGCATTCAGGAGAATATTTTTTCTTCCAAAAGTTTGAGATTTGGGAACTTACAAAAATAAATTTCTAAGGAAAGCAGTTACCATATTTAATTTCCAGCTTAGTATACACAGAAATATGAAGGCACTCCTACATACAAAATGTACTTCCCCACTTGGTCTCCCCCTTCTACCTCCCTTGGTCCCTAATTATGGATGCATGTTCACATGTGCTAGTATGAGATTTACCTCTGTATTACCAGTGAAGAAAATATGATGTATAAATAGGATTATGAGGAAACTATAGAAATGAACTGTTACATAATCTGTTTAATATATATTATACTTAATCAATTGATAAGCTAAATTTTTGTTTAGGATAGTTTACCTATGGTAGAATTTCTACCTTGGAACACATTCTTACCCTTGAATCAGTTGAATATAGATAGGTAGATAGATAGATAGATAGATAGATAGATAGATAGATAGATACACACACACACACGTACGTGTGTGTATAACAAGACAAATGCAATCTCTAGAACACTATATTAAACTTTCCAACACTTCACATGCCAATATTTTGACTTGAGGGTGACATTCATCTTTGCATGGCTGTATTCTCAGTGCCCTGAGAACACAAAAGAAGCTTAGTCTTAATTCAGTAAAGTAGCAAAATATTAAATATGAAACAAAGTAGGTTGTTTTCCACCTAAAGCAAATCAGTGATGTTTGAGTGATTGTTTTGCACGTGTATAAAATGTCCATTGTGCAAACAGTAGTTCAGTCCACAGGAAGCACAGGTGATTTCTGCCCAGTGATTGCCATCTCTGGCACTATTCAGAGAATGTGGCGCTATGACACTGCTCTGCAGACACCGCAGAGCTTCGGCTCAACCTGTTAGACCAGCAGCAACTGAGACCTGCAGTGGCTGCCCATCATAAGTCACATCTTTGCAATTCTGCGTCAGTGAACTTTGAAGCATTTGGTCCTCCCATCTTAGAAATTCCCTCCTGGAACTCACTCTCCAATGGCTTTGTGAGCTCTCCACTGTTCACCCAAGTGGATCCTGATTTTGTTCAACATAATATGACCTGATACGACTCCCCTCACCCCATAACACCACTGCTTCTCAGTGATTTCTGTGTACCTATGGAATAGAATTGCCAGTATCCAAGAATTGTGATTATTTTGTACATTTTCATTAACCATAAAGGCAGAATGGTATAGAGGAAATATGCAATCTTCCAACTCATACAGGCCTGATTTCAAATCCCAGCTCTGCCATTTACAAGCTGGGTGGTTCCTGGTCAATTACCCTCTTTGGTCTTCACTTTCCTCCTAGCTTCATAGGATTATTGTGAGCATTAAATGGTAGCAAGTTCTAACTGCATAGGTAGTCAAGACTCATTCCCTTCTATATCAGAGTTTTAAGGATGGCCTTTACATGCAATTGTTCTGTCTATAATTATGGTTATGTGCCAGGAGCCGGTCCATGCTTGCTGTTTCAAGGGACCTGGCATATATGGCATACTGTTCTTAATATGTTTGCTCACCTTCTTGGCACTATGTGTTTTAACCAAGGTCTCTGAGAAAGGTTGTTTCCCCAGGTAGAGATATTCCCCTGAAGTTAGGGAGGGAATAAAACCTCTTAACTAAGTGCCAGGAGGGTAATTAATCACTTTAACTATGAACAATCATGCTTAAGCTACATAATTTACTCCCTGGAATGGAGATAAGAAACGCCCTAACCTTTGGAATAGAGATTGATAGGATTGAATCAACTGGTATAAATACAGATGTAATAAGACAGCAAGACACAGAACTTAGAATACAGAACTTAGAACACAGAACTTAGAACACAGAACTTAGAATACAGAGCTTAGAACACAGAACTAAGAAGACAGAACCTACACAGAACTAGAGACAGAAGAACTTCGCTGGAGAGAACATGGCAAAAGATCCTGGACTGAACCTGACTACAGAAATGGGCAAGAGAACCTGGACAGAACCTGGCTGGAGAACCTAGCGAGGGAACTTGGCTACAGAACCTGGCTGGAGAACCTGGAGAACCTAGCAAGAGAACATGGACACAGAACCTAGCTGGAGATCCTAAGCAGAACTTCGCTGGAGATCCAGACCAGAACTTGGCTGGAGATCCTGGCTGGAGATCCTGGCTAGGCTGCTGATCAACTGAACTCCGTCTCCGTGTCATTCCTTCTTCGCCGACTCCATCCACGCCTTTGGGGACCCCTGGACCTGCTGGGGTTGGACCCCGGCATCTGGCGCCCGAACAGGGACCCCTAGGTAAGCCCCACTCTCGGGATGGATAGGACTCCACCGTAGGAAGAGGGTGGATAGTCTTTGCCGACTCCGTCCACACCTTTGGGAAGCCCTGGAACAGGATTCCCCTAGGTAAGCCCTCCTCCCCCCATTGAGAACCCCACACTCGGGACGGATAGGACTCCACCAGGGTACTGCAGACCCCCCTATAGAGGATAAGTAGGGTAAGAAGGTGGATAGTACAGAACTTAGATTGAGAAGATGTGCCATACTGAGTCCAAAGAAAGAAGACTCTGTATTGATCTTTAGATTAAGAAGATGTGCCATGCTGAGTCTAAAGAAATAAGACACTGTATTGATCTTTTAACACATATGCTTGCTAGCAGAGGAATTAAGGTTACTCCCAGTCAGACAGAACGTTTTATACAAGAAGTATGTCCATGCTTTTCTGAGGAAGGAAAGGTAAATGTAAAGGCATGGGAGGAGGTAGGCCCAAGGAGCCTTATCCTTAACCCCACTGCAGCCTTCCCACCCCGGGAAAGTGCAGGATTGGATAGCTCTCCCTGGGGTGATAGATCAGGACTCAGGTAATAGCGGAAAGCGCCAATCCTACTCTTAAAGTGGATACAATAGAGCATTTCGGGTTTTTCTTTTTAATGCCTGCTTTTAAAAAATAAAAAAGGGGGAATTTGCCAGGAGCCGGTCCATGCTTGCTGTTTCAAGGGACCTGGCATATATGGCATACTGTTCTTAATATGTTTGCTCACCTTCTTGGCACTATGTGTTTTAACCAAGGTCTCTGAGAAAGGTTGTTTCCCCAGGTAGAGATATTCCCCTGAAGTTAGGGAGGGAATAAAACCTCTTAACTAAGTGCCAGGAGGGTAATTAATCACTTTAACTATGAACAATCATGCTTAAGCTACATAATTTACTCCCTGGAATGGAGATAAGAAACGCCCTAACCTTTGGAATAGAGATTGATAGGATTGAATCAACTGGTATAAATACAGATGTAATAAGACAGCAAGACACAGAACTTAGAATACAGAACTTAGAACACAGAACTTAGAACACAGAACTTAGAATACAGAGCTTAGAACACAGAACTAAGAAGACAGAACCTACACAGAACTAGAGACAGAAGAACTTCGCTGGAGAGAACATGGCAAAAGATCCTGGACTGAACCTGACTACAGAAATGGGCAAGAGAACCTGGACAGAACCTGGCTGGAGAACCTAGCGAGGGAACTTGGCTACAGAACCTGGCTGGAGAACTTGGAGAACCTAGCAAGAGAACATGGACACAGAACCTAGCTGGAGATCCTAAGC